TTTTTTGCGAACCATCGTTGTTAATGATGTAATGTTTTACTTCCGTTAAATAGTTTATTTAGCGGTATATTTTAAGGTTTTTTAAGTTAAAAAATTTATTAAAAATAAATAAAAAGAAATTAAGTAAAACTTATTATGAAAGAAAAATACAATATAATTTTTTTTTTTAATTATTTGATAGACTCTCTGCCTAAACCAAACCCTTAGTCGATGTAGCAGCACTCCATTGCGAATCAGGCTATAAGATTGTCGATGTAGCAACACTCCGCGCATGTTTTACAGTTAAAAACTAAAAATTTTATTTTAAATAAATCTTTAAAATAAATAATTAAGAGTTAGAGAGTTTTTTTATTATTATTTTTATCTTAACAATAATGGTCTTTAAAATATAATGTTTTGGTTCGCATTTTACCGGTCCGCAGTTCGCGGTTCTCATTTTACCGACAACCTTTAGAAAATGAACAATAATTGATTTTGTTTACAAGAGTTATTTTTGTTTACTTTATTCTTTAGAACTTATTTTTGCGTTTAATGTCACGATTTAAACTGCTATTATAAAAAACAATCATAACATGGTTGGTTAACGGCAATTAAATATATCCATACGTTAAGCCACATAGTTTGTTTTAATGTTTTTTTATAAGTGTCAAAATTTAAAAAAGATTTTAAAACGTGAATTTTTCTTAAATTAAAAACAGAGTTTTAAAGATTTTTTGAATTAAAATAGTTTTTTATATTTAAATTATAAAAAAAGTATTCATTTATTTATATTGTTTTTATTCAACATAACTAAATTTGTTCAAAAAAGGTGTGGTTTTACTGTCACAGTACTTGCTAGCTGCAGTTTTGTTAACAAATGGCCTTAATGTAACATAAGACCAACATTTATCTCTTTGGCATTGAAAATGTTCGCGTAACTTTTGAAAATCAAAACTTGCGTACTCAAATTATTTTTTGTTTAAAAAACTTTTATTTTTATAACAATCGTTTAATAAAGTTTCATTCGTGGTTTTAGAAACATTTAAACGCGGTGTTTATTAGTCTAAACTTGAAACTTAATTTTTCTAAAAAAGATTAAATGTTTAGTTTGTTTTTATTTAATTCTTTCTAGCTTAAACAGTAGTTTAAATTCTTCCATTGTTTTTTACTATATTTTCTAAATATTATAGTTTAAACAGTCTTTTAAACATTAATGTTTAAAAGACGTTTAAAACATATTAAGAACGTAACTTTTAAAAGCCTTAGTCTGTAAAATAAAAAAATAGTGAAATAGATTCTGATCATTCCCGACTGGTTTAAAAATAAATAAATTTGGAATTTTTTTTTTTATAGTTGGTTAGTCACTATGGGAAATTCCAAGTCAAATGTATTAGCGGTTCAAAAGTTATTCAAAAGACAATAATACTCTCATTTTTGGTGCAATAACCAACCAATTTTCCATACTTAAGCCTTAAACCTTTTGTAATTAAATCATAAATTTTTCCACTACAAAAAAGTTCAATAACGTTTGATCCGCATAACTTCAAAGGCCAAATGACCCCTCATTTTACATCTACAATTAATAACTGGAATGGCGTTAACCCTAATACCATCTTTTAATCCATTTTCAGGATCCTTAATTAGGGTTTTTCTTCTTTCCATAATCTGAACAACAGCAATTGTTCTATAAACCTGTTCTTCAGAATAAAGTAGAGCAGCAATAAAATTTTCTGGTTGGAGACAAAAAGAGTTTCTATAAATTATGGCCAATGTAATTTTGAACTTCAGTATCAAACATCAAAATCTGCCGAATAAATGCTTTTGCAATCCAAACCAATTGTCTTTATATTTAAAACTTTAGATTGCTCAAAACTAGCATTACAGCATACTCGCTCTTTCTCTCTCTTCATTTTACTTGGGTCAATTGCATCATTAAGATGTAGATAACCAATATCTTGAAGTAGAGCATTAGCTACAGGGCCAGCTGCTTTATCTGATATTCCATATCTAATTATCTCTAAAGCAAATTTGAGATAGTGGGTAGTGTTATAGTACTTTGATCTAGTCTGATTTAATGATGAAATTGAAGTTTCACTCTGTAATTATAAAAAAAATACAACAAAACTTCAAGAAATTAAAAATCATAACAATTAAAATTATACATCTAATTGTATTAACATTTAAGATGCTCTAATTAACTTTAGAGCATTATATTTAAAAGAATTAAAAAATTTAAGAATATATATAGTTTTTATCATACAATCAAAGTTTACAGGTCAAAATTTATTACCTGATCTGAATCCATGATTGTGTCAAACTCTTTAATATAAATTTCTTCATCAGAAGCTTTTGTTTGCTTTGTATTTCTTGAGGTAAATGATAAAACAGAGTTATCAATACCTCCTACTTTTTTCAGGTAACAAAACTAATTTGGAATTGCAATTGAACCATATAGAGGCAGATGAAAACTTCTTGGGGCCCGGGGCTATTTTTGTTTTTAGAGGCCTTTTTATGGAGCAGAGTCTAAAAATGACATAAAAAAAGTGTAGGTCCTCCAAAATTTTTTGGGGCCCCTAAAACAGCGGGGCCTGGGGCTATAGTCGCCCTAGCCTCCCTTGATCCGGCAATGGAACCATATTTCTTTTAAACTACAAAGCGTTCTTTGAATAATAACATTTTTGTCTTTAATACCATCTAAATCTTTTAATTTGTAGAAAAATCTTGCTACATCACCATAAGTTGCTAGATCTGTAATAGGAAGATGAGAAGGGCTACCACCATATAAATTACACCGTCTAGTTCTTTTTACAGAAGGCATTTTTTTATTATTGTAATAAATTAAGTTTGTTAATATAGTTAATATATATTAAAAATTTTATAACTCCTTAAAAATAACAGAAAAACGCTTTTGCAAGGTTCAATCTACAATTTGATACTCTACTTTTTGGTTTATTTACATTTTTTTAAGGCCGGATGTCATAATACACAGGGTGTCAACTCAAAACAAACTTAAAAAAATGTACAAAACTATTTTTAAGAAACTCAATTGAATAACTGGAAAATGTGTTTTTTATAATCATTGAATCAATTATGCACAAAAAATATATTTTTCAGTTTTTTTAGTATGCCTTTCAAAACAGTCCTTTCTAGTTCTTTCAGTTTATCCAGCAGAGTGAAGACCCTGATATATCCAATAAAAATGGCAACTTATAAGAAATTATTTAAGTTGGAATTTTAATGCTTATTTTTAAAATAAGAAAGCTTCTACTCAACTTTAAAAGTTACTTTTTTCGCTAAAATTCCTATTATTTTATAAGATAATTACTCCAGCTTGAAGTGATAAATTTCCAGAAACTGCTGGTGTCTAATGGGCAGTTGAATTATTAATAACACTAAACCTCTTTTGTTTTTCATTAGTAAAATAAACTTTTATTTTAACTTTGTCAAACAAAGTTATTAAAATAAAAAACTTTATTAAGATGCACGTGAAAAATATATATTATTGGCTATTAATTTAACTTGTTCAAATTTGCAAAGAAGTCAAGAAAATAAAGAATTTTGTGAAAATGGTTACTTTTGTCAAAAAGTGCTTAAATGTGTGGTTTAGACTTTTGATTTAAACATTTTTTCAAATTATCACGAAAATAAAAAAACATGTTTTAAAACTTTACCTCTAGACAATCCCTTCACATCAGTGTGAAATAACATAATATTATTGAATGCTACGTAAAGCACAACCTTATACGATAATCACGGCATTTACAATGTTTTTCAGAATTTCTTGAAATTCTTGTAGCAAAGATTTAATTGCTAATTGTACAGTGAGTTTCGATGACAGCCGGCCATAAACCTAAAGATCATATAAACAGAGTAAATAACTTTTAATTAATCAAAACGTTTTTATTAAAATTTTATCAAATTTATGGCTTTAATTGTTTGCAAAAGTAAATAAAATATAATTTCTTTAAACATTTCAACTTAGTAATACTGTATAAATCATTTTAGATAATTATAGTGATAAAATTATAAACTGAACCAAATTACACCAGAATGGAGTATAAAAGAGATTTTTTTTTTTTGATCCCTGGAAGTGCTTCAAGCAATTTTTAATTACACCAAATGTCACTTAAAATGTTACCTTAAGTCATACTCTGCAAGACTACACTTTATTATTTAGAAAGAAATGTGTTGTTAGAACTGCAAAGCTCAAAGAATAAAAAGAAAAGCAACCAGCCTTGTCCACCCCTGTTCCTGAATATATTTGTGTTAACAATCTTTACTATTTACTGAATTTTAGTATTTCGCCGTTATATCATTTGTCGATTTATAATTTAAAGTTTGAAGTTAAAATCATTAAAATAGGTGAACAAATAAAAAAAAAAAACTAAAAAAAACATATACCTTCTTTTTTTAATGAGCTGCTAAATAGACCATTTCCCATTTACTTGTAGAAACCATATAATAAATTTGTAAAACGATAAGAAATATGTTAATACCAAGAAAATATCTTTTTAAAAATATATATAAATTTAATATATATAGACCCATAGTAAGGTTAAAAAGACCCGTTGTAAGGTAAAAAATAGTTCTAGTTTTAATGGCTTTTAAAAACTGCTTTAGTTACTTTTAGAATATGTTGTTGAACTATTCGATGTACATAATGATCTGTTAAATAAGTATTATATATATTCATATATTAAAAACTTTATTTTTATGGTTAACTATTCACTGAGATTAGCATTAAATGCTGATTAGGGATTCCAGAATCATACAACCTAAGTTGAAAATAAAATATACAAAAAAACATGGTCTCAGAAATTGATCATTTTTACAAAATTAAATTTTTTTAAAAATATGTTTTTGTACACAAGTTTATGTCCACACCATAAATCAAAAGAGAATTATACTCAAAAAAAGAAGAAATAAAAACAAGAGTCACTTGATCTGAAACCACCTAAATTTTTTTTTTAAATTTGATATACATAATTAAAAATAAATTTAAAATGGAAATTTTATAAAAACTAAAAAATCGGAAAAATAAATAGTAGAAGTATTCTCAAAAGTTTTATTTTTCGTGAAATTTCATTTAACCACTTTTTTGAAACTCTTGTTAATACATCTGCTTTGTTTTTAGAAGACGGAACCCACTTCATTATGATGTTCGTACTGTATTCCTTTATTAAATCACGCAATAATGAAAGTCTTCGTTTGATAAGCATTTTTGATAGTCCATTTGACCGAACCTTATGACTTTCAGTTAGCACACTTTTCAACCATCCATGAACCAAGTCGGTAAATATCAATAGGTTCTTGATGTCCCACTTAACAGCTAGGTTTATTCCACGCACCACAGTATCTAATTCGGCCGTATTAAAATGCATGACATCATTTATACTTCGTAGCCATGCTGCATCCTCAACTGTTACGCCGTTATATTCAATTGCAACACCCATTGCAATACTACTAACATCACAACACAATATTGCTCCATTTTGAATACCATCAGCATTCCATGTCCCTTTTACAGGATCACTAGCTTCCAAACGGCGCATTATTTCGACCAACCATGACTGTGCTTGATCTCCTATTAGATCATCTTTAGCATCTCCATGACTATAACGTTTTGTAAAACTGCAGGCAATTCTGAGCCAGTTTCTAATTGGATAGTGTCCAATAAAGTGACCACATATTGAAAACAATCTCTAACGTGTTATTTTTTCATTTTCGATGTCTTCTGACTTTGAAATGATATTGCCGCGTTTCCAACAAAGCACTTTATAATCGTTTCTAAATATTTGCTAACCCAAAACTCGTGCACCATCACATTCTTCTGGCTCTTTTTTTAACAAACCATACCGTTCCAAATAATTTACGACATTTTCAACCGATGTCTTTTTCAAATCAACGATTATGTCGTCAATATAATGGTCAGTTGCTTCACCAATACCTGCATCAAGACTTAGCACTTTGCCTAAGATTGACGACATAATCTTTGAAAGAAATTACGACATATTTATACTTAGCATTTGTAAACGCTATTAAATTATAATAGCGTTTACAAATTAGCTATTAACACAAAGTGTAATAACTTTTAAAATTATGCTTCACTAGTATTAGTCTCGACGCAACGTGTAACTTTTTCTTGGAAATGAAGTAGACATTACAAAAACTAGTTAAATTTTGAATGAGAAAAACTTTACGTGCCTTTCTAAAAGTGCTTAAAGTGTCACATTTGGGCCCTTAATTCGTACTGATGACGTCATTTTGAGTTTTTTTTTTTTTTTAAATCAAACTAAATAAAACATATTTTCGTCAAAAGTTAAAAAAACTCTTGAGAAAACTTTATAATAAATAGTAAAATCTTGAAAAAAACTTACGTGTCTTTCTGAAAGTGCTTAAAAAGTCAAATTTGATTAACTTTATTGTTCTGAGAATAATTTTAAAAATGAGTTCTTATCAAATTCAATATCGAGGACCTTTTTTATGGAAAAATTTTATTAAAAATTTAAATAATAAACACTACTCTTTAGAAAAATTAAAAACAGTTTCTAAAAGAATCTTACTTCAATTTTTTTTTTTTTTTCTTCCGTGAACACTTTAGCGAACGGACGTGTTTATTCTTGGCTAATAAGAATATTACTCAATTGCTCAATTAAAAGAAAATAATGAACACAATAATGAAGTTATTTAGCGATAGGATTGATAAACTAGAAAGCAAAATATTAGTTATGCAGTAAGAAAATAAAAATTTAAAAAATGAAGTAAGTGACCTGAAAAAAAGTGTTAAATTTGTCAGTGACAAATATTAAAGTTTACTATCGGATATAGATGTTTTTAAAAAAACAACAATGCCATATCAATTGAACGATACGAAAATGAATTTAGGAAACGATAACGTTATTAAAGATAAGTTGGATGAACTTGAAGATAGGAGTCGCCGAAATAATTTGAGATTTAATGGTATAGAAGAAAAGGAAATTGAAACCTGGCAAGAAAATGAAGGTAAAATAAAAGAACTTTTAAAAGATAAATTGGCACTAAATGGTAATATTGAAATTGAAAGAGCTCATAGAGTTGGAAAAAAGGAGTTGGGTGATAAAAGGAAAAATAGAACTATTGTTGTAAAATTTTTAAGCTTTAAAGACAAGAACGCGATTTTGGAAAAGTTCGTAAAGGCTAAACTCTGGAAAGAAAATGTGTTTATAAATGAAGATTTTAGTTAACGTACTATTGAAATAAGAAAAAAGTTATTTGCGGGTGCAAAAGAGCTACGAAGAAAAGGAAAGTATGCTAAGGTAACTTATAATAATTTATTCACACGCGATTTTAAGTAAATTTTATTTTCATTTCATAGTTATAAAATTATTTAAATTCTAAATTCTAAAATGGATTCAAACCAACAAAATAGTTTCGAGTCAAGTTCATTTAACTTTTTTTAAACTAATGATTTTTTACTTGATAATGAATCTGATCCTGACATAAATTATTTTAGTGAAGCAGGTGTTCTGCAAAACTGCTTTTATTTTTACAACAATGAATTGAAAGATTATATTAAAGTGACGTTTTTAACTTATCTTTAAAATAAAGGTATTATTAAAAGTGACGTCTTTGATCACTTTCCTATTTTTTTCTCCATAAACACAGACATCAAAAAAATTCTACACCAAAATAAACGTTTTTTTACGGAAGCGAATTGCATTGCTTTTAAGGAACAATTAACTTTACTTCATTGGAAACACATAGATTCTAATGATGCTAATTTATCCTATAATTTATTTTTAAAAACGTTTTTTGAAATTTATGATATTAATTTTCCTCAACATAAAATACCCAGCCGGCAAATAACGTTGAAATAACGTTGAAATATCGTTGAAACCTAACGTTGAATTAACGTTGGTTTAACGTTTAGAATGAAAGTTTTTTTCAACGTTGATTTATCAACGTTAAATCAACGTTAGGTTCAAACGTTATATCAACGTTGATTCGACGCGAAAAAACGTTACGTTAACGTTGAATTTACGTTGATTTAACGTTTAGAATGAAAGTTTTTTTCAACGTTAAATCAACGTTAGATTCAAACGTTATATCAACGTTAATTCGACGCGTAAAAACGTTACAACAACGTTGAATTTACGTTGATCAACGTTAAAAAAAACTATCATTTTAAACGTTGTTTAAAATGATAGTTTTTTTTAACGTTGATTTATCAAAGTTAAACGACTGTAAAACACTTTTTCACCATCAAAACGTGCTATGTATGTCAAAATGTATATATGTATGTAAACGTCCTATGTGCGTCAAAATATGATCACCATCAAAACGTACTATGCATGTACATTAGTGTTGCTGTACATTATCAAGGTATATTATGGATATTAAATCTATTCATAGTCTATATTTAGACTATTTAGAACTTTTTCAGTTTAGTTTAGTTAAAATAGCAAGGTATGATTAAAGAAAGAAATAAAACTTGTTTTATTCAAAAATACATATTCAAATATTACATATATTTACATGTAATTGAATAAAATCTACACAAATTTCTTCTCTTTTCCACCACCTTTTTGAAATAAAGCGTAATTTAGAAAGTCAAACAATGTTCCATTAACCGAGGGTTCTTTTGCTCCATTGAGTACAATATAAGAAGCTGTAAATAAAAAAATATATTAAAAAAAAACAAAAAGGGAAGATTTAAAAAATAAATAATGAATGGAAAAAAGTTACAACTTATGAAGGTATACCTTTTTCAACGCCATATAGATTAGTGTTCTTAAAAGATATTTTTCCACCTTTGCCCTTCATATCCATGGAGGCCATATAACATTTCGAAAATACTCTGAATTTTTAAAAAATAATAACAGTTAGTTGGTCATTAATAACTTTTTCAAATATTTAATTTAAATAAAACAACCTTTTTAATATATTAAAAATAAATTAATAATCAAAATATAAAACATTTCTAGCATTGAAAAATAATTTTCGGGGTGGCCACATAAAATTTTTATAAGAAATTTTATGTGGCCATTTATTAATGGTTTAACGTCCATGTTTATACACTTATGGGGCATGGACAGGGATCAAATAATGTCATTTGTTATGTTAAATAGCATGCATTTTCTAAAAAATTTTTTACAATTCCATGCACTTTAAGGCGTTATCCAGTTTTGCAGACTGAGAATGGGTATTTTGAACATTATACATCCATCAAAAATTAAAAAAGGAAGAATTAATGAGAAGCTTTGATCAAATATTTACCTCTTTAGAGGATAATAGAGGATTTTAGAAGTGGTTTTAAAAAAAGAGGACTTTAGAGGATTTTAGAGGAGCTGCAGACACCCTGATTATAAATGAGGTAACTCCACCAATTAACTGTAATTGATTTATCTCTAAAAAAACATGAAGTAAATCTAATATTATGCTTTTGGAGATATATTATATTGTGGAGAACCATCCAAACCACACAAGTGGAAAATTTGCATCCAAGTTTCCACTTGTGTGCAAATCTTGCATCCACTTGTCAACATTCTCATTATCACATTTTTCTTTTGTAGTTGTGAATTTAAAATTTTCACAATACTGTTTGCTTTCTTTTAGAATTGAAATAGTTATACAAATAGTTATATATTTTGTATCAACAAAATAACTTTTCTTACCACGTTATTTAGAAAAATAATAATTGTAATATATAGATGTAATACCTGAAGAGAATTTAGTTTTTATTTGTATAAACTTAAGCCAATTCTTCTCTGCATGTTAGTGCAGTCAATGCTTTGGTACCTGGAAGCCGACAAACAGTTTTATCACTAATCCAATCAGATGAAATTACATAATAAATTCTGTTATATCTGAAATTTAGTGTTAGTCTGAACAATTTAATTTCTAAAATCTGTTTTGCATTGCCTGTCTTATAACGTCTTTACTTGGAACAAAAACCATGTGGTTTAAAAGTGAGCTAGAAGCTTTCAACAATGAAGAAAATATTGCATTTAAATATATATTAAAATATATTAAACCTAAAAATATATTAAACCTGTCAGCAAAATCAGCTGTCAATAATCCAAGTATTAGCATCATTAAAAATTCATCTTTGCTGCATTACATTTATTTTGGTCCAAGTAGTTAAGGATTTTTTTAAATTTCAAAAAACAGAAGTAAATATTTTTTTAATATCACTTTATCTTTTTTGATTAATGGTGATACTGCACTAACACATTGACAGATGTAAGGCCAGTATAAAAGTCGCAAGATCTATTATTTTTTAAATAAATGTTTGTATACAAGTAAATTGCAATAACACGATTTGTTTGGATTATGTTTATATACAAGTTTGTCTGTTTTCAAAGTAATAACTGATGTGGTTGAAGTTAATATTTCGTGCTGAAGTTCTTTTTTAAAGTTATCAATTTCCTTTTTTAATTCTTGATGCTCTATTAAAAAACAACGCTTAGCATTAAATTCAACATAATTTAAAGGATCATTTTTTGAAAAAGCTGTATTATATTTACATTTAATAATATCAGTCTTTGAGCATTGTAGCCCAAGTTAAACGAAAAATATAGATTTTTAAACGATAATGTTCTTTCAGGAAAATCGTCTGAACATGTTTTCGATCTCTTGAAAATTCTATATGATATAAGTTCAGTATTTACATTTTTTTTCCATTATAAATCTCTATAACTTTAATCGTTGAAATAATGTTTACGATTTTACTTCCATTTCTGCGCGCGCATAAATTTTATATCGTTCTTTTTGTCGACAATGATTGAAATAATGACGTTGAAATAACGTTAAATAATCAACGTTTAATCTGTAACGTTGATTTAACGTTGAAATAACGTTAAATAATCAACGTTTAATTGGTAACGTTGATTTAACGTTGTGACATAGTTGAACAACGTTGAAACAACGCTTCAACCGAATTTCAACGTTGAAACAACGTAATAATGCCGGCTGGGTACTAAAAAAAAATAAAGATTTTACGTCACCA